TTAAAAAAGTTTCAAAAATCCAATAGATTTCGTTCCACTTCACAATTGTGTCCCACTTGTTGGTGATTCTTCACATAAAATAAAAAAATTATATCTTTATGTTTGAAGCCTGAAATGTGGCAAAAGGTTGAAAAGTTCAAGGGGGCCGAATACTTTCGCAAGGCACTGTACGAACAGCCAATATGAAGTGTTCAGGAGGGATAACAGCAGTCAGGTTCAATTGGCCTCAGCTATCTTAAATTGTAATCATTCCTAATGTAATTTCCTAAAATTAAAAAAACTATAAACTATAGGTAAGGTAAAACTAAAATTAATTTCTCATTTTAAAATGTTGCACCAATGTATAATGGCCAAAGTCAAAATGTGAACAAGTGAATTTCAGCACAGAATGTGTCTCAAGGTTTGCTGAGGGGAGAATCGTTAAAATTGTCAATTTATTTTCATGTCATTTTTCAGCAATTTTCCATCCCATCTGTGCATGTAATATGCCTGCAGTAAGCATCAATCAGATTATTTTAATACCTGCGTCAAACTGAATCTTGTATTTTAAAAATTGAATGCCTTTAAGGGAATTTTAGAACAAATACAGCACAAGTAGAACTGCTTAAGAATTGTATGTATCCTTCAGATGTGGTTATCCGCCTAAGCATTCTAAAGAGAAAGAGCAACAAAAGACAGATAAAGAACCAGAAGGTAAGAAAAACAACCTTATCTTGAGCAGTATCTGAAGGTTTTACATAGATATGTAGATTTTAAAATAATTGAATGAAATACAAAAAAGCACAGTATTTTCAGATTTTTATTAACTAAAACCTGTTTTGAAACATGCAATAAGAGTGATTAAAACTGAGAGAGAACATGCACACAGGAATAAATAAATCTAGGATAAACATTTAAATACTTTTTTCATCCAGTTTAGGTATTTTAAGTTTCAAACCTACTCTGCTGTATAGAGTGCTGTTGTGAAGACATTAATTCCTCAGTGTACTTATTGATTTCTGTATTTTCTTTTGTCTAAAACCCACGTTTTGGAAAGAGCTCCTATTTATTTTGGAACCACACATGACAAAATATGACTAAGGATATTACCCTGACATGCCAGTCAGCAGCTCTGTGAACTCCTTGCAGTTTTTGCCTTTGAGATCCCCTAAAAGTAGGTCTTCTGAGGTTGTCTATCCAAAGAGGGCTACATTTTAGTGGCAGATGGTCTTTCTACTCCTCCTTTACAATGCAATTAAGAGTGAGAGCAAAACAACTGTGGCACCATGGTCTAGCCAATCCATGAACACAAATGTCAGTAAGCATCTGTGGATTACCAAATAATCCCTGCATGTGTCCCTGTAAACCGACTTCTTGGTACTCCTACTTGAATGTTCTCTGTCAGGAATACGACAGTCGTTGTACACTTGACATACATGCGTTTCTGTTATTGTGCAGCACTACTAGTTTTTAAACAAGATACATTTCTCTCTCTATGCCAGTTCCCTGCAAACTAATAACATATTTAGACGGTGTAGAGGCTTGAATGAAAATCAGAAATAACTTTGGTAAGCATGTCCCCTTACAATACTAACTAGTCCTTAATTAGTGTGTTTAATACATACAAACTGCTAAGGTTTCATTACAATGGATCCTTAATGACTGAATTTAACAGGTGGCACTACTGTGGCTGAGAAATCCCTTTGCTTCCTAAATGGAGTATCTGAAATAGGCAATATGCTTAAATAATAAGAACCATAAAAGTATTTTATTTCTTTAGATCTAAGTTAAGTAGGGAAACCACTAGCCCATTGCTAGCCTTATTAAGATGATTAAAGTATTAAATGAAGTGTACTGTATATACACAAATATTCAAAATATATTACTACATTAATATTTACAGTAGTAAATACTGTATTACTTAATATTTGGTTTTAATAAAACCAAAATTCAGCAATTATTTATCAACGTTAAATTTGATGAAATACTATCAATGTTAGTGTATGTCACTTTAATTGACTAACACTATTAATGAAAATTATTACCGAACAGACCCTTTGGGCCCAAGGGCCTCCTCTCATTTGCAACCTTTCTAATGTTTGTGAGAATAAATCAGATTGTAAATTCAAGTAGAGCTGCCAAGCTTTTGAAATGTGTAATAGCCACAGATTTAACAGCCTTTGAAGAAACAGCGCCTAGGGATTGGGGTGGCAGAGAGGCTACCTTCGCTCCCGTGCAGTGCTGGGGTCCCGGGTTCAATTCCAGGCCTCTGGAGTTTGTATGCTCATCATATTTGTGTGGATTTTTGTCTGGTGCCGGTATGTTAATTGGCTTCTGGGAATATTGTGTGTCCTTTAATGGACTGGTGTCCCATTCAGGGTATACCCTGCCTTGCACCTCTTGCTTTGATAGGACAGACTCCAGCTTTCCCACAACCCAGTTTTGGAAAAGTAGTTAGAAAATGGATGGAAGGAGGTTGTGCCCAGCATTGATCAACCAAGTTGAAACTTAACACTGAGAAAATAACACTGGTGCTCAGTTAACTATGTTAAGGAAACCTGATTTACTGCCAAATTTTGAGACAGGTGACTGTAGAACTCAAAACAGTTTTAAATTGTTGGTTGCAAAGCTGTGAAAAATTTATCTTTGGCCATTGCAAAGTAGTGTCTTTCCTATGGCATCTGATTTCGTGAAAATGGAAAAGGAGGAACATGTTTTTTTTTTTAAAAACCTGAAGTCTCAAACTTAGAAACATCTAAGGTTAAATTAATTTCCAAAGTCTACGAGAGAAAATAATTCCATAAGTATTCATACCCATGAACTCACAAATTTGGGGAACAATTACAGCTGCAAGTTTTTTTCTTTCAACTCCAGGTTACTTTCGGTTCTTATTTTTAAACCATTCCAGTGTAGCTCTGGCCCTGTACTTTGGGTTACTGTCCTGCTGAAGAGTGACCTTTCCTCAAAAAATACACCTCTACTTTGCCACATTTCATTCAGGCTTGACATACTTACCAGTCCCTGGTGATGAGAAGCAGAATTATAACAATCCTGCCACCACCATATTTGACAACAGGGACCGAGTTGATTGAGTGATGCGCTATGTTGCGTTTGTGTCAGATGTAATCTCTCACATTTAGACTAGGTAGTTCCTATTTTAGGCTTATAGGATCACAAAACCTTTCCCAGGTTTGCAGTATCACTCAAAATTGTTGCAAACTCTTTTAAGGAGCGAGAGGAACTCTCAATGTTGTAGTCCTTTCATATTCATCGTTGATATCAATTCCCCTCCTTAACAGGTTACCTCCTTGCCCAGCCACTCAGACAGGAAGAACAGCCTGATCTAGGCAGTGCCTGGATGGCATGATATACAGAAGCTCATTTATTTTTGCATGTAGTGCTCTTCCTAAAAAGCACTTAACTTATGGAAAATCTAGACTCCAGGGCTTGTGCTCATTCAATGAGGTGATGCCACTCACGTTAACTATTTAGGGGCTCCCAACCTTGGAAGCCAACACATGCTGCATTTCTTATAATTGAGACTTGGTTCTTAAATTCTAAAGTGAATTTGAAGTTTGTTGCCTTTTCTAAGTAGATGAATCCCAAACTCTAAACCCCCCCACCACACCATTAAGCTCAGATGGAGCGGTGTTTAATTTCAATGCATCATGAAGTGAGTCTAGAGGTCAAGAAGCTCAGCCGAACCAAAAATTGAAGGCCTAGCTAAAAACTAAATACCAAACGAAAGGCTACTACAGTGCATCTACTTAACACCCATTGCTATAAAAAGGACAAATTAAGGAAACAAATACACCAATTAATTTTCACTAAGCATTTTACTTATAAAAATACAAAATTTAAAAACGTTTCCATAGGAACAGTGTAAAATGCAATCCCATCTCTTTCACATCCATTTTTGAAATATAAACTGGCTTCCAAGTCTTAAGTAGAAGGCAAATATGTATGCAAACTCATAATTAAGGTTTCTACATGGAAGAGGAGAATTTATTCTGGATCTGTAACAGCCCACACCCTTTCAGGAAAAACCTCCTCAAAAATCCTAATGCCGTGAAGTTTGAGAACATGTCATGCTCAGCAATTTATTCCACACACACCTGACCAACTACTAAAATCCAGTTATTTGCAGGAACAATCATGGTACTAAATCTCAGAATAAAGTTGGTATGACACACTAGGAGGTAGAAGAGCAGTTTTTCTTCCAAGACAAAATGCCAAGCTTACATATAGAAGTACTACATACAGTTGCCTTCACTCTGCCTATTACTGGTCCCCAACACTACTGCCCCCTTCTCCTCCCTCCCAGAAAAGCTGGTTACAGCACACGTGTGGAACATGAGGATGAAGGAAGCTCTATTCCACTCTCCCAGGCGCAGCATATGGGCATAGTGCTAGGACACAGCTCCTCCACTGGCTGGATCAAACCTTGCTCCTGGATTTGTTGCATCAGTTGCCTTGATGGAGGGAGGAAAAAGAAAAATGGTAAGGGATCAGAATTATAAAGATGGGAAGTCCCATATTATGAACATATTGTGAATTAATCATCTGGTACTAACCAAGCAGGCCTTGACATCACGTAGTGAATGTCTGGTTTCTGGAACCCATTAAAGGTGGATGATGCAGCCACTGTGTAAGCTCCCATGTTCTCAAACAGCATCCAGTCTCCAACCTGGAGTTCCGGCATACCGCAGAGCTCAACAATGCGATCCAGGCCATCACACGTTGGTCCCCAAATGCTGCAGGTGAAGAACTTTTCATCTGGCTTTGGCTTCTGAAAGTGGAAGAAAAAATAAAATTGAGTTTCCAAGCAAATAAATGGTAAAATCGGGGAACCAACCGAGAAGTTGGAAAAACTTTTTACCTTATGGAGAACAGGCAATACATGGGCATGGTCATACAGGATGCAGTTGAAGGACCCATACACTCCATCATTGACATAATACATCAAAGTTTTGTCATTGGTCCCATCATCTTCATCTAGGAGAGAAGAAATGGGGAAAATTATGAGCTTACCTACTCAGACTTTTAAACCTAATCCTCAGCATTTACCCACAAAGCAAAAAAAGTAAACACCCCTCAGATCAATTATAAGCACAATCCTTACCATCAGAGGCCGACTGTTCCTTCAGGACCACCTTCTTGGCAATGATGTTGACTGCTAAGGTATAGGCAGATGCAACATAGTATCGGCCTGGTTCAGCAATGATCTGGACTCCAGAATCAGCAGGGAAGTACTTATCAAGGGCAGGATTAATTACAGCAGTTATCTGAGAAAGGAAAAAAAAAAATACTTTAAGGGATCAGCCACAGACAATTCCTGCACAGTAACAGACCCAGGTCTTAGCACTGCCCCTCACCTCCATGTGATTTACTAAATTTGTTGAATCAGGCATTTTCACATCACTCTAAAGACTTGCAAAAAAACTCACTGTTTTGTCAACCCAGTGATAGTGCATGGCGTATAGTTAGTTAGGATTAAAAATAAAGTCAGAGCATCCCCCAAATCAGGTTATTAAAGTCCTTCTCCCATAAAAAACTTATATCAAGTTACCTCTTCAAATTTAAGTTTCACATCCTCCGAACCAGGAAAGCCACCACCAATATCCAGGAGCGTCATGTTGAACCCAAGTTCTTCCTAAAAGAGTAGATATTGCTTTACAAAATTGTCCATTTTCAACTTCAAGCCAACACTTTGATATTAACAGCTACAGAAGTTTCAGATTATTGCTTTCGCACTAAATGAAGTCCAAAAAGACACTAGTAACACATTTAACATACTTACGCCCATATCAAAGACACAGCGCGCATCAGAAATGGCTTGGCTGAAAGTGTCTGGGTCAGTACAACCACTTCCCACGTGGAAGCTAGGTTTAAGAAAAACAGAAATTGTAACCGAAAACCAGGTATTAAATTGTAGAACATTACAAAAAAAAATCAGGTTTCGCTATACAATGCTGAGATACAGACCTTCTCAGATACGTCAGCTTTATACATTAAGGGAGATTGTCACTCTTTCCAAATAACTATTTACCTTACACCAATGATGTCCACACCCAGCTCCTTTGCCCTTTCCAAAAGGAGACGGCTAGTTTTTAGCGTAGCTCCAAACTTCACACTCAAGCGGCAAACGGCCTTGGAGTCATCTGTAGCAATTCGAAGAACCAGCCTGGAGATAAGCAACATGTTTAACATTAAACAGTGTATTGACTCAGCAGACCTGGGAGAAGTAGGGAAAAAAAAAAAAACAACCTACTTTGCATTGCTATGGCTTCTTGCCACTTTCATCAACTCCACTTCGCTATCAAAGGTCATCTTCTGCACACCCTGGGCAGCAGCATATTTAATTTGCGAAACTTGTTTGCAAGGGTTTGCATAGATGATCCTCTCAGGGGAGACTCCAATGTTCTGAACAAGCTGAATTTCAGTCTGTGGGGGAAAGAAAGGCATCAATGGTTAATCCCCCCCACATCTCGGTGATGACTCGATACTTCAAAACATGCGTCGGTCAAGCCTCCACCACTGAAAAGCAGATATTACCTTGCTAGCACAATCAAATCCTGCCCCCAAAGATGCAAGGGTCATCACCACAGCTTTGCTATCATTGCACTTCACAGCATAAAATGGAGTGACGCGGGGCAGTGCTCTGACCCATCGCAGGTGCTTCTTAAGGACATCCCCAAGGTCAGCAACATAGAAGGCATCCTTGTCATCCTGGAAAGACCGAAGCCATAAGGTTACGTTTAGTAGTACAACAGAAGCCAGCAAAAAAAGAAAGCAGGGTTTTCACCAAAGTTACTTACAGACAGGGAAACTTCATTGATTTTTTGTTCGACGATGTCTCTGGCAGTGAAACCTTCATCGAGGAAGGCAAAGTCAAATTCGGCCGAGTTGAAGACGCTCATTATTCCAACTAGACTGCTGGGGTTCTCTGCGGTAGAAAAGGTAAGCGTTAATCAGAATATCAGAGCGCCCCCCCTCCCTTCTACCGTCTCAGGAAGAGGCCTGGTAACAACTAGCTTTCAGTTGTGCAATCAAACCGAGTTAAAAATTAGTTAAAAATTACAAGAAAAGCAGACAATCTACTTGTACCCAAATCTCCATTTTAAGATGTCTACACTGTAATGCGAGTTAGAGCTTTCAAAAGACTTTAAGTCTATAACTTGCCCAAGAATGATTCTTAGCTCTTGATAACTTGCTTTCCTCAGAAAATACACTTTCAAACCAGATAAAAAGTGAAGAGACTGTACACATTTAAAAGTTTTATAGGGCATAAAATAAAGGAACTTACACAGATGAGAAAGAGATGGGATCGGCAGCAGGAAGACGGTCAGCCAGACAACCAGGGCGGCTCACCGGTGAAGTTGAAACCTTTCAAATAGGAAGCGAGGCCAGGGCCCTCTAAGAAGCCGATATCTGCTTTCCTGAAATGAGCGTTCTAAGGGAACAAGAACTTTTTTTTAAAAAAAAACTTCGCAAAGATATTCGCGTTACAAGCCTAAATTGATGTCCCTACAAACCCTGCCGACGGAGCTCAGCCACTATTTTGCAGTCTTGAGTCTTTGAATTGCCATCCGTGAGCTTTTTAAAGGATATAAAAAACGGCAGCGGGACTGCTCCCGCGTACACGCGTTTAAGACTCATTTACACGAAGTATAAAGGCGGGGGGAAGTCGCAGTTTGCATATTTAAAAGGGTCAAGTCGCAGGATATACACCCCCCCCACCAAACCCTGCAAAGACCTACGCACTGCAGAATGAATGGCACGTTATCCAGCCGAGCCGGCAAACGCAAAGCCCGCCCACACAAAGGGGGAGGAACAAGATAAAGGGAGCCAATGGGTGGAAGGGATTCGAGACTAGAAGAGGATTGACGGCAGTGAGAGCCAATGGCGCAGAGACGGGCGAGGGAGGCCGCTGCTTCTTTAAAACCACAATGTGTTCAGTCAGGAGCCACGACCATTTTCATTCAAAGCCATGCCTTTTCGTCCTCATAAAGAGAGCCATATAATCCATTTTAAAAAATCTACTTAGGGGGTAAAAAAAAATATTAATGTGACTAGCTTGTTCAGTTCCGCAGAGGAAAAAAAGGTACCTTTTCGAGCCCCTCCGATTCAAATAAAGGATTTAGGTCATTCTAGAGAAATTCGTAATTTTACCAGTACCTGATGAGATTGAAACGACTATGGTACAATAATCTTATCCCGGATGTTCATTTTAAAACACTTACGATGGTTTAAATGTGGAATTAAAAACTACGATCCTATGTCGATATACGATCGAATTTATAATTTACTTAAACGCTAATGAAACCGCGGCCGTAGGCAATTCAAACATACCGACGGGAAGACCTATCTAGCAAAAAAGAAAATAAATCTCACCTTAAAAAGCATTTACGAAGAGTATGTCCATTAGACCAGATGACTTGAAATGAGAAAAAATAGACCCTGACCTACTCCCTTCCCCGAGCTTATCTTACAGCTGCTTGAAATGAAAAGACACTAGTAACTGCTTGTGGGTTGAGGCTTTTATATCCTCTCGGTTTCCAGGGCAACGCTCCAGCTGGAACCGGCTGAGAAACCAGTTTGCTCTTGCTGCGTTTCAGGCCACATGCTCCGAGAAACTGCTCACTTTATGACATCATACAGAGACGGAACTCTTAAAGTGGGTAAAGGAGAAGGAAAGTTTTCTGGCACGTCTCAGACTTGACAAAGAAAAGTACATTTTACGGGAACAGTAAACCATTACCGGTGCTCTGCTTTTACGTTTACCATCGGAAATGATTGTAGTTATTTAAATGAGGAGTTCTATAAAAATCTGAAGAAATGTGCTGCCCCGCTCATTAAATGTAAAGAAAATTTGATAAAAAACGGACCTTTTCACGGTTGCCTATGGTACTAGGTGTTACACAAATTGGGCTGGTACTGATAATGACGAGCATTGTTCTGTGGCTGAAGCATGTGCCTCAGTGTATCTGAGTGTCCGAACTATGCAGATAGAATCACGACTGAAGTATCCCATTGCCTCAGGGTGGTTGAGTATCGCATGATTTTATTAAAACGGGGTTTTAACCGTACATAGGTCCCCACCTTTAGTAATGCGAAAAGGAAGGACGTGTTTTCTTCGTCCTTGTCCTAATGAATTCAAGTCAGATTCAGCCAGATAAGGACCTCCCTTCAGCCTTGGTGTGAGAAAGGAGACAACCAGTTCCGTCCTGAATGTGCAGGACAACACCTGGAAACAACACGTTTCCCAACACGTTGGGGCGTCTGCACTGAATTATTCTGTTACTCAACTCCTGTAACTGTAAGTATTATGTAACTGTTATTACAAAAAAATGTCCTGCAAATTGTGTGGAGATTTTATAAAAGGGTTGCACCAATGTTTTGCCCCTTGATATGTCGGCGTGCTCTTTGCAGATGGGGCAACTCCCACTGATAAATGTGTCCCTGTGCTTACAACACTGTTGGTGTTATTTCCTTTGCACCTGATAAAAGGCAGCTGCACATCCTTTGAGAGCACTTTCAGTGCTGATTGTCACAACAAAAGACACTTGAGAGCATTGGTAGTTACATGCAAAAGGTTTGGCTATAATTAGGCTAATGTCCTGGAAATGTGCAATTTTAACACTGTTATGGTGGTTGTTTATGATTTAACACTCCTTTTGTTTCAAGAGGCTGCCAGTGTCGTGGTTATACACAGACTAATACTTAAATGTCACAGCAAAAGATTTTTGCAGTACTTGTGAATTGGTAATGCAAGTTGATTTATGAAGTTCCACTAGGAACCTATTAGACTATGAAGGTGTGATGGGTTGGAAAACTATGCCCCTGTTGTATAACCGTCGCCTTCCGCACAGCTCAGAGTCACGCCAAGAGTTGTGGGAGTGTGATACAAGCTACCCAACCATGTGTCTGAAGCTGAAACCCTGACTTCTTTCCAGAAATGTGTGGATGAGAAATTTGGATCAATTACCAAACTACCAGACAGGCTACATGAACTGAATGGCCTCCTGTCATGTCTATGATTTCTACGCGTGAGTCACTTGTATAAACCACTGCCACCACTTTTATCAATGTAGGGAGGCCCAGCATTTTAAGTGTGTGAGAATGCAAGAAGGCTGAAGATAATAAAAAGGTAAAATAGTCATGGTACTTGAATAGGCTACAACTACAATTACAAAACTATTATAAAACTAGACTCTTAGACTAAATGCTGCTCACCTCAGCTTTAAAACACAGAGCATGTTCTGTTTAAATGTCTAATCTAATGCAAGTCTGTGATAGTATGCAAATAACCAGTTAATAAAGTGAAGCCATTACATGATTAAAACGAGTGAAAGGCCGCGCTTTTAGAAACTGGGGGCATACTTTAGCAATTTACCAAAGCAGTGGAAGCTAAAATACCCTGACGAAAGTTGTGGCGTATACTATAAGGGCAGTCCTCTCCCCTCTGCTGTCAGTGCTGCTCACTGGGAGGTTGTGAACATTGCCCCAAAGCTTTATTTTGTCCCTTCCCTCAGCTGCCCCATCCTTATAAAGCGCCAGATGATATCACTCATTCATTGACCTTGCCTTTCAGCATATATTCTTGTAGAGTTAAATGACTTCATTGCATGTGAACCGTCATCTAATCAGTACTAATGTGTTTCTGAACTTTAGGTCTTTAGAACAAATGTTTTAAGCCCGTGGAAAAAAAAAAATAGCCCACCTGAAATCACTCGGAAAGAAACGCTTCTTAAGAAATGACCCAGACAAGCCTGTATGTCACATGTTGCGCTGACTTTTACCAAGAAGCTTCCCTGTGTCTCCACAGTCAGATGGTGTCTGGATCTACATATTAATCCTCGTGTAGCGCAGAGCACATGGGGAGACAGACAGATGCAAAACACATTTTAAAACAAGCATGGAAACCTCTTTTTTTTCAGAATTGAAAACCCTGGGAGTGGGAAAAATGCATATATTGGTTTTCCATACCATCGGATATCATCACGAGTTGAACCGTGCCTTGTGCAGATGAAGCCTGCTCCACAAAGAAGCAGATGAGGTCATGTTGCTAATTAAGTACATTGGTGAACAAAGCATGAGGAGGCATGAGCTGTAGAATTAGCTTTCTGTGCCACTGGCACAGCTGTCATAAACATCAAAAACTGTCTCTTTTTTACAGAATGTATTGTATTTGGCATTAGTTTCTATCAAACTGAGGCTCATCTCGAATAGTGGTGTCACGTGAAAGTATTTGTCATTGCATTCCCTAACCAAGGTGGCTAAACAGTTTACAGTCTGTTACAATGGAGGTGAGAAATGTTTGAGAAATATTGCTCACAAACAGGCATACAGTATGATAATGTGTTTTTGGGTAAACACAAGCAGAATTTAAAGTAAACACTGAAGCTCTAAAAAGAATCAACAGAAGTCATTAAATTACCATATGAAGGTATGAAACAATTGTTTTTTTTTATACTGTGTCTTGTAAAGGTTACGTGAAGAAAGATTTTCAAATGACTTATATTTGTAAATATGTCTTCTTTATCACAAATCAGGTAAAGAAGTAGACAAAGTAGCCACAACATCTTTCTAATTGAGAACCTTCCTGGTTCTACTTTCTGCTTTGGAATTAACCTTTACATGTCTAACATCCCAAGGTTTTGCCATTCTTCTTTTTAAACAATGGTTCTTATGGCACTAATTTAGGTAAACTAACCAATGTTTATTTAACTGTATTGAATACTGGTTTTGAATAAGTGTACATACCCCTCAGTAAGTAGTTCATGGAAGCACCTTTTGCTTGAATTACTTGAATAATTCTTTTTGGATAGGTCTGTACCAAAGTAGCACACCCAGATTTGACTGTGTTTGCCTGTTCCGCCTTATAGAACTGTTCAAGATCAGTCAGATTAAGAGGGGACTGTTGATGGACTGCATCCTTTAAGTCATTCCACAGATTTTAAGTTGGATTTAGGTCAGTGCTCTGAGTGGGCCACTCCAGGACATTTACCTTTCTGTTCTTTAGCAACTCTACTGTTGCTAAGGCTGTGTGGTTATGGTTGCTGTCATGATGAAAGGTAAACTTCCTTCTCAATTTCAGCTTCCTTGCAGAGGGCAGCTAGTTTTCTTTAAGAATCCATCTGTATTTTGCTCCAACCAGTTCTCCTTCGGTCCTGACCAGTCCAGAGTCTTTGCTGCAGAGAAACACCCCCATATCACAATGCTCCTCTACCGTGCTCTACAGTAAGGATGGTGTTCTGTGGGTGATGTGCTTGCTTTGTTGGGTTTTACCAAATGTAACATTTTGCATTGAAGCCAAAAAGTTCCATTCAGGTTTTATCAGACCACGAAACATTTTGTCCACGTGGCTTAAGAATCTTCACATTTTCCATAACTCAAATGTTTCACTGTGGGCTCTTTTTTCAGTAATGGCTTTCTTCTGGCCACCCTCCCGTACAGCCCACACTTGTGGAGAGCTTGGGATATTGCTGTGACATGTACACACTGACTAGTGTTTCACATACGGTATAGGCGTACAAGTCCTCAGCTGCCATTGGATTCTTGGTGGCATCTGATCAGTCTCCTTGCTCGGTCATCCATTTTGGAGGGACAGACCTGAGCAATTCAAGGCTTTGTTGGTGCCATATACCTTCTGCTTCTTTATGATGGTCTTGACTGTGTTCCAAGGGATACATAATTATCAGGGCAGAGCGGTGGCTCTGTGGCTAAGGATCTGCACTTGTGGCTGGAAGGTTGCCGGTTCAAATCCCGCGGCTAGCAGATGAATCCTTCTACGTTGGGCTCCTGAGAAAGGCCCTTAACACCAACTGCTCCAGAGGCACTGTACAATGGCTGACCCTGCGCTCTGACCCCAAGCTTCTCTCCCCGCCTGTGTGTCTCATGGAGGGCGAGCTGGGGTATGCGAAAAGACGAATTCCTAATACAAGAAATTGTATAGGGCTAATAAAGTGATCTTATCTATCAGGCTTTGAATGTTTTTTTCAGTAATGAAATGGGAGTAATGCCACAACTTTATTCCAGAGATCTTTTGATGGCTTCCTGTTGCTCGTAGTTGGCTCTTTACTTTGAGGTGCACTATCCAGCAGAGTAGGCCAATAGGTACAGCTGATTTTATTCTGTATTCTTCAGGTTGCTATAGTTGAACACAGGTGGACACTAATTACCTTGTTGTGTGATTTGTAAAGCAATTGGTTACACCCAAGCAAATGTACAATTGCTATTACTAAGAGGTCTGGAAGCTTACCCAACCCATTTTTCTCAGTTTTCATTTGTAATTATTTTTCAGAATGTTTGAACGTTTGATTTTTGCCTGGAGGTTACTGTATGTGTTACAATAAAGGAAAACAAAATCTGATTTAATGTGTCTTGATTTCAGTCTGTTAGGCCACAAAATGTGTTACTTGATGTGTAGACTTTCTATTGGCATTGTATGTCATGGTCAAGTATATTTGATTAAACGTTTTAAGAAACATTAATTAATCTAGTAAATGAATTCGTGAAGAGAAGTGGTTAGAATGAAGGGGTTTTTTAAATTTGTCTTCAACTGCATATATAGGTCCCTTCAAAATGTAATTTTAAATTATATGTGATCTTTCAGAATGAATCACAGACTGAGCACAGAAGCACCTTCTTAGTGGCTGAGCTGTAGATTCAATACCATATATTGAACCATTCAAAGATGATGGCTCTGCACTTTATTTTTATTGTCGTCACCAGATGTGAAGCATCATGCCTCGGAACATGGCTCAGTAGAAATGACTGTTTGTAAGAGAACCAGGAAGGTTCTAGCAAAAAGGATTTCTCCCCCTCTGTGAAGTGGGGAGATTAATCTTTCTTCCTCTGATATCTCTTTTTTAGAACTGGGCAAAGGGTGGCTTCCACAATATTTTAGTCAGAAACTTTTAAGAAGCTTAAGTTTGGTTACAAATTATTTTTATTTGAAGCTAACACTAATAAGCCCACACCCAGGTCTGCGGACCAATGACGGAAGAGCATGGAATCGGCATTCTTGACATGTCATCACTATTGCCAGCGACCTCAGTCTGCTATCAACGTTTTGTATAGGAACTGGACAAAAAAGATCAGAAGCATAAGCAATACAACCTGGAGGAACTGGAGATTTTCTGCACAGAGAAGTGATCAAAAATCTCTCTTTTTGACAGATAAGCTGTTGATGTAATTTGCTGCAAATAAGTTATACTTTTTAAAATTCCTTTATTTTACCAGAATGGTGAAAAGCTAAAGTCCACCCCAGAGCTCACCCTGGTTTCCTTGGCTCTCTAGCAGACTAGAGAGCCTGTGGCTCCCCTCTCCTGGATGGAGAGTACAGGTCCATCACAGGGATTACCCTAACAGCAATGTAGGTGGCTACTTCTATAGCCAGATGGATTGGAGCACCTGGAGTGCAGTAACTTACACATTGTTACAACAGCAGTGCCAGCAGCGGGGTCTTGAACACAAAACCTGCTAGATAAGGGTCCTGCAGATCACGCACTATGCTACACCACCTCTGTTTTCCAAATAAGTCTGGAAAATCATTTATACATCAGGGCTTTTACTATAACAACTTGAAGCAACTTCCTGAAAAGTATAGCAGTAACAGGATCTGGACCGCTAACTCTCTGGAATCTGTAGTGCCTAACCAGCACTCAGAAATGCAACTTTGTACATGTATGAATGCATTCACACACTTTTGTTGTGATATCAAATTATTAATGATATGAATAAAAAGTGAGCCATACAAACATATGTAAACAATAAAAATGTAGTAAGATTTAGTACAGTAAATGGTAAGAGCAAATTCTTAACATTATATACAGTATATACAGTATTAATTAAGGCAATTATCTTTCAGACATAATTCTACCATGTGTTTCTTCTTAAGAATACATTGCAGGGTTACATTATGTTTAAGAGTTTAAGGACAAGCAATTGCTATGCCTAGTGAGAATGTGAATAATTCTGTTTCACCCTTTCACAGTGCTAGATAGCAAAACCATCAACATTTGACTTCACACATACAAAATCTAATTCAGCTACACTTCCACAGGCAGCTGTTTCTGAATGGCATTCCTGGTAAGACATACAGTATACACAGTAAGCCTGCTTCACTGGTCAAAGTTAACCCAAGATCCACTGATGAGCCCTGAAAGGGAGCAAAAGCTCTCTATGGTAGCTAAGTTTGACTTTATACAAGGAAGGTGACCTTTATAAGTCAGTTTAAATAAATCTGCTTCCCAGCTTTGTAGAACAGTGAGAGAAATTAACTTTCAAATTCCCATTGCTGATACAAAACAGAAATAATTTTTCATCAGTTGTATTACAGTACTTTCCATTGAAACTATCCAATTAAAAGGCTTGTGGCTTGTTAAAGATTACTTGTTGAAGTATTTTTGTTTTTATGTATTATTTAGACAGTTTTAACAGATATGGATGCTCTGTCTGAAATGAGCATTGCATGTGATCTTATATAATTATGATTTTTTTCGGTCTTAAGACGTTCATACTGTACGTGCATAAACACCCAAGCTGAATCACATTCCAAATCACTTGCTGCTTTTTAATTCACAGTTCACGTCTTCCCAAACACTAGCACATAACATGCTCTGTAAGCCTTGATTGTGTAACATAAGAAACATAAGCTATGATATGGTCAATGTTTGTTTGATTTCTGCAAAAGTTGTCTTGCATTAAAGCAGCTAAGTGCTATTTTGTAAATAAGCATAAAGGGTTTAATTCATTGATAAAAAACTTTTTAAACTTACATTTGGAAAATTGAATCATAGTATGATGATTTTTAAATATATATTTTTGTTGTTGTTGTTGTTATAAAGTTTTTTGGCAAGTTGCATCATGTTTAGAACTCAGCTTTTCAGAACTGAAATACATGCTCGTATCACCTGTTTTTTCTTCCATGCACAGGCTCCCTGTGGAAGGAAAAGTGGCGTTCACCTTTAAGGTCTTGCATGGTTTGGCTCCCAGCTATATCAGTGAATGGTTATCTCCTTGTTCTGCTCATTGTTTGTTAAATTGTGGACTCTGGCACTCTTTCATTTGCCAAAATACGGTTCCAAACAATGTGCTATTGCCATAAAGCAATTGAATGAACTCTCAATCCATCTAGCAAATCAATCCTTACCTTCACATCCTATAAAACTTTAATTCTGTCCAGTTTATGTTTTTGTTTTCAGTTTGTTTGAATTTCAGTACCTTGAGATGTCCTTGTGTAATGAAAAAAAAAAGACTATCATTATTCTCAGCCTAATTCCATCAAGGCTGTATTGCACAAACCCCAGAAATTCTATGATTTAACATGGGAAAATCATAATCCAACTATTTAAAGCCAGCAGGTGTTCTGTACTGGGGAAAGAGGATAGGATCATGAAAGGAAATGAATAGACCCACTTCCTATTTTCTGTGAGACAGTATTTGTAATAATTGAAGAGGAGAATATCAGAATGAGAAATTTTAAAAATGAGAGGAGGCCATATACCCCATCTTGCCTGTTTGGTGGTAGTAGTATATTGATCTGAGGATCTCATCCAGCCATTTCTTGATAGAAACCAGGGTTTTGACTTTAACAACATGGCTTGTTCCACACTCCCTTACCTTTAGGGATAAAGCAGTACTCCCTGCTCTCGGTTTTAACAGTTTTATTCATTCTCACTTCCATCTGAATTAATATTATTTAATTGTGGATGGGAATTTGCAATTATTTTGTTTTATGGTGATAATTCTGTTATTTATAGAAGACGAATCTGAAACTCTCAGAACTAGGCTTCAAACAAGTCTGACTTTGTCCTTTTCGATATCTTTGCCCAGGAAGAGGATTTCAGCAGAACATGGCCAGGGCAGCCACAGCTGAGAGATCTCTGGTGAGTCAGTAAATAGTGGGAACAACGGCTGCTGTTGATCTTCAGAGATATAATGGGCGCAGAAACAAAAGGAATTAAAGTTCCTGCCAATTAGAGGTCAAAAGCCCTTGAACCAGTTATTGAAGATGACATTACATGTAGGGGAGAGATGGGTATCTAGAGAGTGTGTCCTCACTAGATTTAGCTTTGACTTTTCAAGAAGCAATTGACATAAAACACAACACCTGCCATATTGACTTGGACATGGTTCAACTAGAGCATGCTGATATTGTCAACATCATATTATAAAAATATTAAATAGAAAGCTGTAGCTTTGAACCAGTGTCCTGGAGAATTAAAAAACCTCTATACAGGCACAGAAACTCCACTCTGAGTATTGCCTTCAGTGATCTTTCTGAGTAGACAAGACAACCATGCATGGCTGATCATATAAAGTATGGCTAGAGGAAATATTTTATGGTTAATAATGCCTAGCCAAAGCTTTATTCTCTTCAAAGGCATCCTTTCAACAGCCCGTATTAAACAGCTTAACCAGACCATCCATTATTTTTGCTCAGCTAGAGTCACGACATTGGCCATTGTGGAATAAAGATGGGAGCAGCAAAACAGTCACTCTGTATATACTGTAGGAGCAACTGTTTGACCAAATCAGATGTGAGGGTGTCCTCATTCCAAAGAGAAATTCACTGGGAATAAAGCCATCCAATAATTGTATGTGTTTGGGGATGTTTATTTGAGTGTTTAGGTATGGTAAGATTTGGCTTAACCCACTTGGACGAGGGTCAGCCTCTCGGCTACAGGATGAGTGAGAGTGAGCAGTCAGCAAGGGGCAGCTGCAGAGGTGGAGATGGGGTGAAGAAGGTATGCTTGAGGTGAAACGTGAAAAGAGGGATTGTGTTTAATATACATAGCTTTTGAGAAATGGCGTCAGAAGTGGTTAGAACAGCTGAGTTCAAAGTGACCTGGTTGAGAATTTCAGTTGAGAGTGTCGATGTTTTATGCTAACACCCCATAAAAAACGAATATCAACCAAAGTACCAGAAGGAAAGTGGTCAAATGGTGATTAAATGTGTCTAGTCAAGCAGGAATCAAGTACAGTGTAGTAAAACAAGGAATAAACATAAAAACATTACATAGAAATATCAGGAAAATGCAGTTTGTTTCAACAGTGTAAGATTTATGTGAAATTTTAAACAATAAATTATTTCTGAATGTATAATTTATATTAAAAAAACTACAAGCTCAGTGAGTTAAAATCTGTGTGTTAAATGTTCCTAATTCATATCTTACAGCACATCTGCTGCTTTCTTGGGTTGAATAAATATTTCCTAATTTATCATATGTGAAGAATGCTGTGCAGAAGAATGATTTAACTCTACATTTTATTAGTTTATTGTTACCCATAGCCACTGTCCTCTTAAATTTAATGAGTGTTTTTTTTTATAAAACCTATAGAAGAGCTATTGGAACAAAACACTTCTCATGCAGAAGATAACCATTATCTGATTAAGTGATTTACTCAACCAGCTGCTACTAGGTAATTTACATTGGCAGACAGGTCAAAGTTTCAATTCAATCAAAGTTAAAATAGCATAAAATAGCCAAATGAATGTCCACCAGAAAGTGGCTAGATTTTAATTACAGGGATGTTTTTTTATGTAATTTAATTTAATGTCATGAAGAGTTGTATGTCATGAAAAGATGTAATTTATTTCCAAATCATTTTAAATGCTGGGAGCAAAGTTATTCCAGTCTCTTGCTCAACTATACAATGTTTCATTGTATCATCAAGAAACTTGATAAGTAGTACGCAGAGTTAAGAGATAGAAGAAATATGATCTTGGCCCCTATCCCATTTCCTAATTTTCACATGGTTGTTCTTGTACAAGAGAAAGGATTTGTTTGGCCTGTTTTGATGTACATGTTGGCAAGCTTTCTCATTTTTCCTGAAAAGGCTTTTATTTTATGGACTTGTTGTGGTAGGAACAGCTTCAGAACATTGTTAGTTTTTGCTGAGGTTAGTGACTTTCTAGTAACGCAGTGCTCACAACACTGTGGAAAGAGACCCTTTTTACTAACTTAACCTCCTAGCTCCCACTCCTCCACCATCAATTTGCGATCTCTAACTCAATGTGCGATGCATTGCCTTTTTAAAATGAATAACCTTGGAAATGGTGTTTTGTAGTGGAGAACTAATAACGTACCTATTTTTCTCTCCTCTATACAGTCAGCTAGAGTTATTGATTATTTTGTGATAGGTTTAAGTGCTCCAGTTCCTACCTTAAGATATTAGTCTTTCATTATTTATTGTGGTCTATTTCCAGCTTTCCAAGTTGGAAGTACTGTATAGCACAGTGCTGGGAAAGGACAAGCACTGCCTCCTGCACATTAACCAGATTTACTTCAGGGCTTGGAAAAAAAGGCATCATGTTTGTTTTTCCTCTAAACCAATGTGATGAGGAAACAGTGACAGTCTATTTCTATTTCTTTTGTTGTGTCTTTCCAAAGAATGAGAGAACCAGCACATGGTTTTGATATATAGCTGACATGAGCAAAATTAACAATAATATAATTCAATTGGACAAAAACCAGTTACTGCTAGATCATGAAATAGTAGATATACCTGTTGAACCTGGCCATTTAAATACACGATGTAGGGAGGGACACAAGTCTAAACAAAAATAACAAGCACTTTTTCTTGTATGTAGTTTTGATAACACAAGTGACATATTGGCAAGCTGAATGTTCAAAGTGAAAGTCTCATAATGACCATGTCATCTTATGCAAACACTTAATCACTAATGCAGAAAACACTCCTACCTGTAAGTGCAGTAAAAGTGGTGATTGTG